GGGATGTGGTGTTGTAGAACTCCAAGGCTGGACATATATTGTAGGATTAGTAATGTATATGTGGACTGTGCTAACAAAAGCACCTGGCCTCTAAGTGGGTTATAGAGACAAGGTTTAAAACGCAAAAGGGGAGAATCGATTTCGAAAGTCAGGTGGAAAATGTGTGGTTGAAATTTCGGTTCTTTGAAAAATTAGATATATTGCCTGACCCACAAATATGTCAAACGAACAGAGCGTTACACAACTTACACTATGTTTGTTTTGAAGAATTTAGAAGAAAGAAAAAGAAGACAAGAAAAATTGTTTTCCTTCTTTTTAGTTTATTTTTCCTTGGTTTTTTTCTTACTACCACCTGAGTATTTCAAAATGTTTAGATATAAAAAAGAAAAAAAGAGCTACGTGCAACATAGAAACACTCTTCATTTGAAGGTTATGATACTACACCATGACTTTTGTTAGGAAAAAAATCCAAATTTGGAGGAGACTAATTTGTTTCCTTTTTGATTATCTCTTTACACTATGTTTGGTTCAAGGAATTTGAAATGAAAAAAAAAGATGGAAAATAGTTTTTCTTGTTTATTTAAAAAGTAAAAGAAAAGAAAAATAGAAGGAAACAATGAGAAGATAAAATGTACTAAGAGAAAGAAACATCAAATTTCTCCTAATTTGGTGAGGGAATGGGAGGAAATTATTATCTTTTCTTTTTCTTCCAAATTCCTTAAACCAAACATAGTGTTACTATTTTTAGTGATTTCCTTCCTCTTTTAGGGTTAGCATTTTTGGTAGGTATAAAATTATACCAAGCTAAGACTTAATTTGTTTCATTTCTCAATATATAAGAGAAAGCCTCTTCTAATATCAGAATTTTTGAATATCCATAAATACTATTTTACAACTATTTTCTAATCATTATATTGGAGCAAGTTTTCTGTTCTTGAAACCTCAAACACACTTTTATTTCCCTGCAGATGGACATACACAATACAATATCTGTAGACAGGATATTGTGACCTTTTGGTTAATTTGTTTCCTGAATGATCGTTAAGCATTTCTGATTGTTGCGTTCGACCAACATAGAAGCATATAAGTATAAAATCGAATGGAAGAAATAGAAATGCATGTAATGCTATGATTAAAAAATAGAAGAATTTGCCTAAATAACACTAAAACATAATGACTTTCCCTAAATAGCATCATATGTGTTCTTTTTCCTAATGTAGCACTTTTAGTCATTATCCATTAGTCATTACTCAATTAAACATTCGCAATCACTAAACATTATTCCTTTTTCTGGACATTATTAAGTACTCCCTCCGTCCCATAAAGTGTTATCCATTTTGACTAAAGTAGAAATTAAGGGAGGGATAACTTTGTGTTGACTTTCCAAAAATAACCTTGATGTGACGGGTAAAAGTAGGATGTGATGTGTAGATTATTAGGAAAAAGGTATGATGTGATAGGTAGGGTTTGAAAAAGTAAGGGGTAAAAGTGGTTTTTTTATAGAAATGGGTAGGAGATTGTGAGACAAATTTTTTTTAAAAGGTGTAAATGTTTTTGGGACGGAGGGAGTATTATTTAGGGAATAAAACATTTTAAGTGCTATTTAAGGAAATTATTCAAATTTTAATGTTATTTAGTGCAAATATTTCAAAAAAATAATGTTCCTTCAAAAAAAGCTTAAACGTAACGAGGTAATACAAAGTAAGTTGAAATTAAAATTGACTTGATGTAAACCTTGGTGTCATCCTTGGTGTGATTATAGTATGCGTGGATTGGCATTGAGGAGGCGGCCCATGAAGCAGGAGAGCGGAGAAGGGATCCTTCTCCTGATCTCGAGGACATGCAAGGGCACAAAGACGACGGCGGCGAGACCGCAAGAAACCAACGGACCGGTGAGATACGACGCCGCCGCGGCCGCGACACAGAAGGCGACAAAGACGCCCGAGGCGCGTGGGTCCCACCACCACAGTAACGCCCTCGCCTTTACGACACTTGTCGCCACGCGGCCGATGCTTTTCTCGGCTCCCCGGACCACTTTGCTCAGCTCTTCGTGTCTGAACTTTATCGCCTCCGGCGGCCGGCTGCTCGGGGTCGTGTCCGCCTCCTCGTCAATACAAGTTGGACTTACATTCTGTCGCCATATCACAATAAATAAACTTAGGTTTATGGTGTTATTAAGCTCAATAGAAATCACCCTAAATAAGATTAAAACATAGAGAAATGTATCAAGTAGGACTTTCATATTTTTTTTCTAAAATGAGACTTTGCACTGTGGTAATGTGACACTGTACATAAGCACATTACTATACTTTTTTGGTAAGGTACATGACCATGAGCATGTTTGATAATGTAAGTCTTATTTCGGGAATAAAAACATGGAAGTCATGTTTTGTTATATTTTTCAATGTTTTAGGCCTACTTTGATCTTTCTCCATAAGCTCAAATCATTTGAAATTTTTAACATTGCCTCCCTTTAAAAAAAGGGCAATGCTAAGAGTACACCAACATAGGGTACCCCATTTATACATCAAGCCAACACAGACACACACACAAAATATCTGTACAACACAAACATTTTGTGTCTGTGTGTCTGTGTTAGCTTGGTGTACAAATAGGGGCACTGTATGTTGGTGTACCCCTAGGTTAATTCTTAAAAAACATGTTTTACATTGCTATTTACATGGTTAAGTTAGTTTTGTTAATCGTATGTTCTTTAAAATGAATTAATAAGTCACCGTTCTCTTGTTTTATAGCACAATCGATGTACTCCAGTTCTAATTTTCTAATTTTACGCTAATTTTCATATAAAATGATGTCAACTTTTGATGTTGATGGGTATTGATCCAAATAATTTTGAGAGAAAGATAGTGTTGGGTTAAGGAATCCAGGGCCTAGGAGACTAGGCGGAAGAGTATCGAACTAAGTCGAGAGTACACAAGTTTGGAGTCAAGTAAGTAGTAAGTATTATTGTGCTAGTTGGAACGTCACTCCCCCTTCCTTTGGAAGGGGTTTTATATGCAAATTACAATATGGGGTTCCCGACCGTTGGTCTGGAGTCCAACGGTTTGGGCCCACTAAGATTAGGTTGTTCACTGGCGGCGCCTAACCACATCATTATCCCTAGGGTTGCTATACAAAATAGGTTACAACTAGGGTGGCTAGAACAACTCTGCCAGAGGTATGGCAAGTATGGCAGGGGTCTAATCGTGGCCCCCCTAATCTTGACTACTTAGACAGCTCCCTTGTCTGGATTTGGTCTGCTGACGCCCAGGCGGAGGCCGAGTTCGTATGATCTGTCTCTTGAAGTCCTTTGATGGAAGGCCGGCCGAGGGTGGCCCGAGGACGACCTCGACCTTGCCGAGGCCGAGCTTGAACTGTTGCAAAGGTGGCCTTCCTAGGTTTTCAAATTATTCTTGCTTTAGTCCAGCTAAGTGTGTCTTAGCGTGGTTGGGCTGGGCCGCTTTTCCGTTGGGCCGGATACCCCCATTCCTGGGTATCCATCAGATAGACTTTGGAGCCCAACACAAGGAGACCGAGAATGCAATATGAAGGAATCGTATACTTGGCCTCTAAGTGTAGCTAGACAATTTTCATTTATTGCAGTTTTAGTATATCAAATTTTTATGACCCTTAGACATTTAAAGCTATATTGAACATGTGGTCAATGTTTGTCATAATTTGACCTAAAAAGTTAAACTATAACACTTATTTGCATACGAAGGGAGTATATAAATACTTGTGGGAAAAATAAATAAGCAAAATAAATAAAATATAACTATGTAAATAATGAATGAATATTTCAATTCTTAATGAGTTTTGATCTTAATATTATGGATTGATTTGATTAGAGTGAAATATATACTCTCATCGTTTGAAAAAATAGTTCCACTTCTATTTTTAGCGCATCCTACAAAAAAACCACTGTCGCACTTAAAATGTCTAAAACATTCTAAAATAATTTTTATCAACAATAAATAAAAAATAGAGTATATTTTAGATATTTTACATGGGATAAAAACAGGAGCACCTTGCAAAAAGCAGGGGCCTCTAGTTTTTAAAATAGTTCAACTATATATGTGCAATTGGGCCCAAAAAAGTGTATGAAGGATTAAAAGCCCAAAAAAACAAAACGAAGAAAGGGGAAAGACGGGAATTTGAATCGCCATTCGGACGGGAGGAGGACCAACCGGCAGCCGACCTCCGATTTCTGAAGAGCGACGCCGGCGACACACCGTCGGCACTGCGCCGGTGCCTCCTCCCTACACGACGGCTCCATCCCCACCCTCCAGTAGTTCAGCTCTCTAGGTATGAATCTCTAATTTTATGTCCCTTTCCAATTTTTATCCTTTAGATAATTGATGGTTTTTTTATTTTAAAAAAATTGATCGTCTCATTTTGAGTGATTTCTTCTTCTTTGAGTTTAACTTTTAGTTTCTATTTAGAATGATGAATGAATTGCAATTTGATAGAAAAATCATTTTTGTGTTGATTTCTTATTTTTATTTACTAAAATTATCGCTAATAATTAGGTCAAATAATTTATGGAATGATAGAAATTACTCCTTGTTTCTCATATTTTGTACACTTTACTTCCATAATTGTTCCTAGGAAATGAATAGTTTGATTGATAATTTTGCATCAAAATATACTAAGAGGATGTCTCTTAATCTATATAATCTTGTATTCATGTTTTCTACTTCATTATAACAAATCAAATACTCCCTCCGTCCCACTGTCTTTGTCCACTTACCTTTTGGCACATCATCTAATGCACTTCTTTAATCCATTTTATCTTGTAATTTGTATATTAAAAAATTATAGAAATTATATATTAATAATCTACTCCCTCCGTCCCAAAAAGATTTACACCTTTCAAAAAAATTGTGTCCCACAATCTCCTACCCATTTCTATTAAAAAACCACTTTTACCCCTTACTTTTTCAAACCCTACCTATCACATCATACCTTTTTCCTAATAATCTACACATCACATCCTACTTTTACCCATCACATCAAGGGTATTTTTGGAAAGTCAACACAAAATTATCCCTCTCTTAATTTCTACTTTAGNCCGTCCCAAAAAGATTTACACCTTTCAAAAAAATTGTGTCCCACAATCTCCTACCCATTTCTATTAAAAAACCACTTTTACCCCTTACTTTTTCAAACCCTACCTATCACATCATACCTTTTTCCTAATAATCTACACATCACATCCTACTTTTACCCATCACATCAAGGGTATTTTTGGAAAGTCAACACAAAATTATCCCTCTCTTAATTTCTACTTTAGTCAAAATGGGTAACACTTTATGGGACGGAGGGAGTATATGTTAAGACGAATCAAACAAGATCACACATGACTATTTTTAGGCTTACACATTGAGAGAATTTGATGAGTCAAAGTGCTTAGATGAACAGTTCCAAAAGTCAAAAATGGACAAAGATAGTGGGACGGAGGTAGTAATTACTAGGAGACTTAAGTTTTGCATTTATTAGATGCAATAGGGCCTTTTTTTGCACATGGTCCAGGCCCTAGGTAGGAGTAATATGAAGGATGCTCAAAAAATGAAGGTGAAATTATTTTTTTCAAATGGGGAGAGTATATGTTTCTGTTATGAATTTTTCTGATCTAATTTGATTCTAATAATGGTAATAATAAGTAATACTTCACTATGTAATAAGAATAAGTTGAAAAAAATATACCCTAATTAAGAGAGAACAACTAAAGGACCAAAGGAAGTAAAAGAGTTATGATGCATTCTCTTTGTGTTTTGATATGAACCTTTTAAGATTTTTTTTGAACACTAGAAACTCTATTATAATGTACTCCCTCCGTTTTTAAATAAACTTTGTGTTCCAATTTTTACGCATCCCTAAATTTACTTCTACACATACTGATAATATTTAAGATTCACCATTTTTCTTCTATATTACGGGTAAAAGTTCTTTGGAGGTATTCTAGAGATTTTATATGAAGTAGAAATGTTTTATAGAATGCGCAAAAAAATGAAACAAAAGTTTTTTTAGTGACGGAGAGAGTACTATCTATTCATAAATTCTCAGCCTTTTAAGCACATATGTGGCCGACTTCTCATATGAGAGAATCACACTCATGCCGCTGGACTGCAAGGCTTTTAGCAACTTTTTAAGATTTAATATGAACGAATCAATGTGATTTGAAAAGATATTGCATGGTTCAAGTTAAAGTCAATAAGTTAAAATAAGTTAAAGATATGTGACCTCTTATAATTAGTAATTAATTAATATAAGTTAAAACTAATTAATTTTAGCAATAGAAATGTGTATGGTTGTAATTTGTGTAAAGGGAAGAGAAATAACTGAAATAGGAGGAAGCAATAATTAAACAAAAAGAAGAAGTAATTACCTGAGCCACATCCAGGAGCAGTGGGTTGATTTTGGGCGGTTGCTTGGGGTAACGGAACAAGTTAACGAGCCCAGGGACGAAGAAGGAGAAAATAATGATGTGGGGAATGAGGTGGGGGAAGAAGTTGAGAAGGATGAAGAGGAGGGAGAAGAAGCAGATGGACCTTGCCGGAATCACGAAGGTGACGGCCCTCATGACGGAGTCTCGGAGAAAGAAGAACCCGGACGCGGCCCTCAGGAGGCGCCTCCGGTGGGTTTCGTACCGGCGGTAGCTGAAGCTGGGTTCGTAGTCCCCGTGCATGTCCTCCACGACCGCCTTCCCGAGCGGCGGGTCATTTTTCGACAGATGTTCCGCCACTAAGGCGACCGCACTGCGGCGGAGCCTGAGGATCTCCGCCTCGGGTGGTATTGGCGGGAGTGGGGAGCGGAAGAGCATGAGGAGAAAATGCTTGGAAGAAGAAGTGTATAAGGTAAAGCTATATGAGAGAGTGAGGTAGGCCATGAGCTTCACGTTACAACGGTCCGGGGGGTTAGGTTGGATAAGATAGAGCGGGAACTCGGAGAGGTATTTGTTTTCGGTCCTGAAGGCGGGGAGCGATGGGAAGAGGGTGGAGATGCGGATCACCACCCTCCCCATGTACACGTCCGCGACCTCTTTCACTTTCTCTTTCTGATCATTCTCTTTCGACTCTTTTTGGCCCCCGGAGCCGCCCCCCTGGCGGTTGTCGAAGAGGGCGACTGAGAAAACGGTGTGCGTGTCGAACACGTCACAACCGCACGTCTCTCGGAAAACCGGGTTGAGGCTCCCAAAGTCGGTCCGCGTCCGGTACAACTTGCGGCCGCACTTGACCAGGCAGTACGTGTCCGCCGTGGCTTTGCCACCGCGGACGACCTTCGTCGGCCTGACTATTGTAGCGCCCTTTACTTCAACCTCCAGGTACCCGATCGCCGGCAGTCTGTTGTTATGAGCAGGCGCTCGGAGGTCGCTACATTTATCCGGCTCCTCCTCGAACACGTGGCAATGATGTGCCTCGCCTCCCATCGCAACCCTCACCTCCCCGACCTCACTCTCCTTTTTCCCCTCGCCGTCCTCCCCGCCGCCGCCGGACTTGGGCTTCTTCAGCCCGACAGCCACTCCTTCCTCCTTCTTCTTATACACCTCCTCCAGCTTTTGTACGCCGCTGGCGACCACTTTGTATTCCCCACACGGCTTCATGTAGGAATCGGCTAGAGCCATATGCAGCTCGAGTTTGAGTTCGCCTAGCGGTGGGCTTTCGTTGTAAACCTTAACGAACCAGACTAGGGAGTTCAAGGGTGCACTTCTGGGGCTCGGTAAAGAGTTGAATAACTCCGGGGTGGCCGACGATTGTGCTCCGATGGTGGCTTTCACCCTGTACAAAGAGCGCTCGGGGAGGAGGGTGGGGTTGAGGTTGCTGAGCCACATCATCTGGAGGTTGTAGTACACCAAATTCGGGAGGGCGTGCATTTTCGGCCCCGCTTTAACCACCAAGCGGAACTCGGGGTTATCTTTCCCCGCCCACCAAACAACCGCTTCTAACTCCTCCTTCTCCTCGTTGGTGAAGGAACAACAGGAGAGGGCGGGGTAGTCCAGCAGCGTCCGATCTGAGGGAACGACGAGTCTCGTTTTCCCCAGGGACGTCTTGTCCTCGCCGCCGCCTTTCAGGGAAATCTCGACTTCCCTCGCCCCGCCGCCGTCTACCTCCTCCTCCGAGAAGTACACCGTCACCTCGGCTTTTTCTTTTTTCTTATTCAGTTCACCCGTTTTGACCTCCGCCGCCGCCCCGGGGGGTTCCACCACCAACTTCACCGCCACCTCTCCGGCTTCCGCCGGAAAACCACTACCCATCATCACCTTTACTAATAGAAACCTGAGAGGACGATCGTACTCCCCGCCGCCGGGAGACCCAACCACTTGCATTCTCCGTCCTGCATCCATCATCCACACATCACTATGATGTCATAATTAATTACAGATCATACCAATTTTCAGAGAGAGAGAGAGAGAGAGAAACCTGGATTCGGAAACATCCTTAATTACGTAGCTAGTTAATTGCTTGATTCTTAATTAGAGGTTAATATGGAGTATTTAACGTTAGGGGAATTCAATAAAAATGTTACCGAAGTACTAAAATTTTTGTCGGGTCAATTCATTTGCCTAATTAAAGTTTTGTTTGGAATAATGATGAATCGGCAGACTTATTGCTACGACACCCCTTCATTTCCGCAAAAGAAAAAGGGGCTCGCTTGAATAGAGAAATTACGAATTCTATGGCACTTGACTTTTCACCCTATCAAATAGGGACACACTTTCATTACAAAAAAAAAGAAGAGAATTTACCTGTAATAAAACATAGTGGCTTTCTTAATGTAGTACCATATACTTTTATTTTCTCAATGCAGTACCACTATTCAATGTCCACTAGTTATCATTCAAATAAATGTTCAGTGCTACTGGACATTGTTCAAACTAAATGCTCATTATTACTAGACATTGTTCTCGCTAATAGACATTATTCAAGTACTATTTAAAGAATAAAAAATTTAAGTAATACATTGAGAAATGACATATATTTTAGTACTATTTAGTGCAAATTTTACAAAAAAAAAAAGATATAACATCGTAGGCTATTAGCCTCACGCTAGAAAAAAAAGAGAAAAAATGATGACATAACAACGACTAAGGCTGGATGAGAGTCCGCCCCATTGTAAATGGCCCAAGTGGATATTGACCTAAGTTTCCCTCCGCAATATACATGCAACATAACTCAAATTGAAGTCGGTCTCATCTCGAGTCACTTGAGAGCATTCACAATAGTAAGATAATGTCTTGTCTTGCCATGCCATGTCAGCAATTTTCACTCAAATCATGGCATTCTATGGCCATTCCACCTCACTTTTCATTCCATGTGCAAGGTATGATTCTCTCATTTTTTATTTGTTTTAATATTTTTAATATTTGTAATTTTTGAAAAATATATTTTTTAAAAGAAGTAAACATATTTTAATAATAAAATAAATTTTTAAAATAATTTTTTATAATTAAAAATCATTAAAAAGTGCAAAAATAGACAAAAACAACGACTTGCCACTGTATGTTACGACACTCCACTCATTTGCCACACGGTGACCAGTGGCGGATCCAGGAATCGCAAGGACTGGGGGCAAGACTACTGCGGGGGTTAGGGGGTAGCGCTTTGTTTTTTCTTCAAAATAGCAATGTAAAATTACAAAAAAAAATTATTTTGACTCAAAAACGCATTCAAATAATTAATGAAAATCTAAAAAAAATATTTCCTATAATTTATTTGCTTTAAATAATTTTGAATTTTGTCTCGATTAAATTTTAAATATTTTATTTTTAATAGTAGATATTTAATTTTTACTTAAAATTTATTTTTACTATGGGCATTTTTTCTTTCTCAATGGGGGCATAACTTTTTTTTAAAAAAAAATTAGGGGACCACTATGGACAATTTTGAAATTTATTGGGGGCAATTGCCCCCATCAATTTGTACATAGATCTGTCCCTGACGGTGACTGAGTTACTTTTTATTAGTTGAAATAATTCATGTCACCGTGTGACATTTCATTTTTGTCTTGCCATTGTCAATGCTCTAAGTAACTGACCGTAGAACCATTCCCTGATCTTTCTCGTTCATGATCCACAAATTCACAATCATCATCGACAAAGAAGAACCAATAGAATTCCCTCGATTCTAGAATCGAAGCATCCGAGAGAGCTTTTTATTAATAATTTGATACAATAAAATAGCAATGGCTCTTCTATATGGCACTTGATATTTCTTTTTTTTCCTTTTTTTTGAAAACAAAATATATTAGAGAGAGAGAGAGTGATGAAGTCAATGGGTGAACCAAACTATTTCAAACACTCTCTAATTCTCTTTAGAATGATTAATGAATTGAACGCACCAAAATGCTGTTTATCTCATTTTCACTTTTTATAAGATTTATGCAATGAAACTATATTTATACTTAGAAAATTCCCTAGATAAAAGTAAGAAAATATAATAGGAATTCATATTGTAATTCTTACATTAGCACACTTAGTCGTGTGTGTCACACTGCTACTGCCACACTACCATCCGCCACCGTTGGTCACCAAAGTGTGCCCCTGGTTGCCAACGTTGTCCGGTGGTGCACCACAATTGATTGGTTACACTACCATATTACAATGACATCAGTTTCCATCACACTGTCATCATTTATATATATCATCTAGCATTACACTCTTACTTAGTGGATTAAACTAGGTGACTCCTATTTTCGTAGTTTAGTTAAATTTTACTCATATCTTGGATGATTTCTTTAATTACACCATCAACTCTTAAAAATCTTTCCTCTTTCATTTTTCATTTATCCCAAAAATTTTTTACTCTCTATTAAAAATTCATTCTTACCCCTACTGATTCTAACTTTATCTACCACATTATATCTATCCACTATTAATTAGCTCATCACATCCAAGAGCATTTTTAAAAAATCAACACTAAAGTACATTTCTCTTAAATCTCTTGAAACTCAATATATGAAGCATTTAAAAAAAATGAGCCCCATTCCCGAGTGTCCTCTCAAACCAAGCCGGACGGTCACTGAGAGAAGATACATTGGACTTTGATGGTGTAAATTACTTGACCGGTCAAACTATACTAGACCGGGTCTAGAATAGTTGACTTGATTTAGTAATGTAAAGAGGGTAAAAACACCCAAGATGACCGGTAGGACTGTAGGTGGAACACCTGTAGCCCGAATTGTATTAAAACAGAGAATGCACGGTCACTTTTACAAGGGAGTTTAGAGAGAGTGAATTCCCATCCCCTTCTTCGAGGGTTACAAGTGGTATATATACTAGCTGGGGGGGGGGGGGGCAGG